TCCAAGTATGACAGATGATTATTATTCTCTTTCTCACAAGTAAAGCTGATGTGATTTTGTACGGTGTTGTCTTTTTAGTAGACACACTTTATCCTCATGCCTACCATAAATCACCATGATATCATCAACATATCTCCTGTATAGTGAAACGTTAGCGATGTGTTCAACAGACAGATTTCTGGTATACTATATATAAATGTTAGCTAGTAGTGGTTCCAAGTATCTACCCACTACTACTACGTCAACTTGTTGAAAGCACTCACCTTCAAATGGGAAATGAACTTTCACCAGAAGTATCAATAATACTTCCACAAGAAAGCTGGGGTTATAAGTAGTGTGAAGTTTTTGAAAGACATGTCGTCATAAGGAAAGTTAATAGTCTTGGACAATTGCACTTCGGTGAATAATTTACATCAAAAAAGTATATAGTATTGTTTTTGATATTTATGCCACAAAAGCATTCAAAACCTACCGAATTCGTTTCACACTGGACTTAACACTTTCGCAACCATTTCTCCAGTTTCTGTCTGGGGGAAAGATATAGAGACAATGTAGGGGGCAAATGATTATTAGCTTTACTAATCCTAAGTAATCCATGTCAATGTAAACACATTGACATCTGATGATCATTCTGTAGAAGCAATAGTAACGTGATTGTTAAATGCTGAGCCTATTTCGCTCTTTTTGGTATCTGCAAGGTTATGTTTGTCAATATAAACCATTCATTTGGAAACTGTATGGCTTATGCGTTTATAAAAAATCATGGCTAATTAAAGGGGAAAACGTGTTACACCTACGAACTGTATGTCTTCTTATCAAGGTATGACTCACTTTGGGTAGCCTAATGCGAAAGTCTGTTAACCATCTATTAGGAAATCAACAGTAACTCGAATTCGGTGAACTAGAACCAGTGGTGAACAGTTTTAGAATTTTAGTGCTTGTTTCGATAACAGCTCCAGGTGGGAAACCCGTTGATCGCTGGTTCGAATCCCGCTGAGGTCCACATTTTCATTTCACCTTCAATCTTCACTCAGTACCAACACAAAACACCCGAACTACAGCTACTTTCGTTCATGCGTACACACCTACACGCATATAAAACAATCAGTAAATGTCTAGTTCAACATCATTACATTTCCTGCTGTTCGATTAAGAATGTTATAAAGTGTAGATGAAGGTCTTTTCATCTGACTACATTGGTCATCTATACCCATGCAAAATGTAGGCTTCATTCAGGCTCCCAATAATATTCATACCGACTAAGCATGAAAATTTATAGCTTTGGAGTTCAGTGTCCAATACAAGTTAGCGAAAATTGTAGATGTAGATATCCTGCTAACAAATAGAATATACCTGATTTCCTAAATAATTTCTAGGCATATGTCTATAAAGTGCATCATTTTGATATATATGCTTGAAAAAAGTTTCGTCACTCTCACCCACCATTCTCTACTCCTCATAGTATAACCATTTTCTAGTGTAGAATTTTGTTTCTACAACTCTGAAGTACAGTGTTTAAAATAATGTTTTACCTCTTATTATGATAATATAGTAATCCGTATATCTTCATTACAAAGTTAGAAAAAGGTGTGACACAGTTTGTTGCTTCTCTTGCCAACGTATGATGATTATCAAACTAAATGACTGAAAGTACATGTACCATTCTGTTGGTCTTCTTATAAACACTTCATTTTCATTATGACGATAGTTTGTATAATTTTAGTCAAATCAAAAATCTAGACATATTAGAATGTTTACTTTTTAAGAAATAGTTGATTCATGGAAATAACTTCCACTTACGATAGACTTAAACTGAAATTCCTCTGTTTCAAATATCTGTTGTGGAGATAAAAGGCTTTACAGAAAGTTGACCGAACCAGACAATAAAACACACTGGTTCAAGTGTTTAATTTTCACAAAATGAATCTAACGAGACATCTACCTGTAAAAACTGAGCATCTATTAGTCTGGGATTGTGTTTAGACAATTTTGAAAAGAAATTTATTAATATATCAACAGGTACTGATAACTTCACTGCGGTTATCAACAACGACTGACATTATTTTTAGAATCATTGAAAACCTGGGAGCATTGGACAGCTTTCTTGTCCTAGCATGTGACTCCTTAGTAGTATGCACCTGCTTTCCCCACCAGGGATCAAACCAGGGATAAATCGGTTTAAGTCTTTAACGATTACCACCTGAAAATCGAGCGACAATCACAAATCTTCAAACTGAGTACTGTCTACTTCTCGTTGGTAGCATTATATCTTATGAACTTTGAAAAGTCCGAATGACAAGCTGTGATCTGTGAAGTCAACGAGGTCGAGAATGAGAACAAACACTGCCCAGTGGAATTAAATGCTGGTAGTACCGCATCGAAAATTCATAGAAGTGTGAAAATACTGACCAACAGATTCCAACCCGATGAATAAGTGGCAAAATTCTTGCTGCGGGACCTAGAGATCCTGAGGTAGGTCTCCGTTTTGGTCGTGGATGTGCATCGCTGAAGAGTCTTACACTGAGAATAGACGTTCGTCTCGAGCTCCTGAATGTATACCAGTCCTTCATTTGATGTCAGTTTAAAATGAAGTCCATATTTTGTATATATTTCATGGAAGCTAAACTGTTCCTTTCAGCCTTTTTATTTAAAAATGAAGAAGAAACCTGGAAAAAATTGTATTAAAACCGGAGATTAAAGTTATTAGACATTTCATTGTCACCATTATTCGTCAGTAAAAAATAATTCGGAACAACTGGACTTCAGAGGATGTATCTAATTAGTTTACGCCAGTTTGGTTTTCTGCCCTTCTCTTAACCAGTAGAATGACCATTATTGTACTTTCGACAGGAAATGAGTTTTTTCGTTGAATCTTTGAAGGTTTACTGATAAATGAAGACTGGCCTCACACGTCAACCGCCTTCAATAAAGCAGACCATCAAATGGCTGAAATGTAACATACAGTAATGCAATGTTACCGCTAGAAAGGTCAAGTTACGTTAATGGGACATACATAGAAAGCTGAACTATGATAGACAGATAGATCTGAAACATATTGATGATTTATTTCAGCATCATACTATTCCTTGTCATATTTGGCAATACACCCCAATGTTTTTTTCTGAAACTATGAGGGTTAATGCACTATAGAACCTTTATGACTCTAGAATATTTGTTTAGTCTCTTAGACTATACAGTAGAACAACTTCAAATTTTCAGACAGTGCAATGACGTTGACTTCACTGATTACATCATATTCTTCTGTGTGCATGTTCTACTGGGCGATGAGTAAAACAATCAGTTTACCGAAGAATCTGCGTTGACTTGTCTGTCAGTTACATATCAAATTTACTAAGTCATAATATGTTTCCTGGTCCTATTTACTTGTTCTCAAACAACCAACTGTGTCCCGAAAAATCTAAAATTATTAACAAAATAGACAAATTTTGTATTTGATATATCTGCAATGACGGCATTCTTAACTGAAACTATTTGTCATCACCGCATTCATTCTGAAGACAGTAATTTTCTTTGTACACATTCCTTACAAATTAAATGAAAAATAACTCGAAAAAATACTGTCCAGTAACCTATGAATAAGAATATGAGAAAAGAGTTTACATTGAAATTTGCTCGATCATTATCTCAAGGGTTGCATAGATTTATGGCTAAGCTTTCTTGATTAATAATGTTAAAAAATGATGACCAACATAAGTGTCTGAAAACCACTTATGTTTATCTAGGGATCTGAACGACTAGGTTAAGATAAATCATCAATAAGCAGATTTCAGAAGTTGTTTAGATGGGGGTTCATCAGCATTAAACCTAGATTCAAAGCATTCAACGATCACGGGCTGTGATCTGTGCTACAAAAATATCATAAACTAAGGAAATATACTATATGTGAACGTCATGAAAGGTTAGAATCCCGCTGATTCAGTTCTATAAATGACGATATGTTGCTTGTTCTACTTACTGTTATAAATATTCTTCTTATTTTTATTCCTAATCAAGCTTTGTATTACCTAAGCAGCCTATTAGTATATTTAATTTTGATACATTCAACAGTTAACATGTAGCGTTAACAAAAAGCATTGAAAAATTCTTAGACATCAACATTTTTCTTTTCATTCACCAATTCAACATCGTCAAGCAGACCTAATGACTAACCACTTTTATGCGGTTTAGTTAAATACCTTTTCAATAAAAAATGAAGTTATTTTTGCAGTTAATTTATCTAAACAATATTTAATCCCCTCTCAGATAAATCATTGTGTTTACACAATCATAGGCTTGTTTACTTCATTACTTTAGGGATAAACAACAGTTTCTAAAATATTTTAATAATATTACAGTGGTAATTTAGTTAATTGTGGCTAGCAGAGGAATCCAGGATGCGCCAGCTACAACCAACTAAATTACTATGATTATCATTCGGGCAATATCGAGGAATCTGCATTGGAGCCCATATGCCAATTGAGCTCGAACAGTTCGATCCAATAAAACAACGTAGAATTACAAGTATACCAATAAATAGTAATAACTATAGTGGTCATTACAATTCATATGGCGTAATGCATACTTTCCACTCAGTTGCAGCATACTGGATTCTATTAAGTAGAGTTTTAGAAACTTATTAAAATATTTTTCCCTTGAGGCTTGCATGTCAATTCCTTTGAAGAGTATTTGCTTCGCTTATAAATGCACCGAAGTGTAGAAAAGACTGTTGATAGACTCCACTTTCTTGAAGCTTTGATAACACCACGCCATTTTTGTCATCTATCAAGTTTTAGATTACGCTTACTAAGAACATCTGTTGATAATATGTTCTTTTTATTATACGTCATGTTATCTGTGTAAATATTCATTAAGCTTGAAAATAGAACATGTATTCCGATTGCTTATAAACACATTGTAAGCTAAGCAAATGTTTTGTTTATGACCGTTGTTAATTCATCTGAAAAAGCTAACTATAAAATGTGTTTGCATTTTTATTTCAGTCTAATTATGAAGGTCAGGATACATGGGTTGGCGTACAGGCAAAAGAAGGCAATAATCCTTTTTATAAAAGATGTTATAACCAGCTGGAACTGTCATCCAATTCTTATTCATGTGAGTTACACAAAACAGGTGAATAAGTGTTTGTTTTCACGTATACTTTATAAACCTGTCTCCTTTTCGATATAAACTGTGGATGGAAATCAAGATATAATATAATAATAATTCATATAATATACAACTTTCCTTACTCGGTAAGCATTATGCTTAGTATATATATATATATATATATATATATATATATAGAGAGAGAGAGAGAGAGAGAGAGAGAGAGAGAGGGAGAAAGTAGGATGGGAAACATGACTTGCTATATCACACTAAGTCGACCGTTATGCTGTTTCTCGTCTACAACTGAAGGGATAGTAGCTTTTCATATTAGATTTGTTTATTTGATATATAGCTATATTAGACTTAAGTACAGTGGTTTTGTCCCACCCTATTGTGTGGTTGTGTGTTAATGAATGTAATGCAATGGCTGAGTGTTTTTCTAGGTTATTGATCTTATTGGGGTCTGTCGTTCTATGTTTAGCTAAATTCCTATGTTCTGTTAATCTAACTGACCCCGACCGGCTAGTTTGACCTATGTATTTGACCTCACAGTCATTACATGGAATTTGGTAGATTATATTATTTTGCTTAATTGGTTCTATCGGATCTTTTAGCCGACAAAGCTTACCTCTAAGTGAGTTTGTTGGTTTAAATGCCACCCTAATTCCAACCTTGTTGAGAATCCTACGTATGGTTTCTGATGTTCCTTCCTTGTATGGTATCACAATAGAGGTGTTGATTTCCTTTCTACTTATGTTGTCGTGCTACTTAAGCCCTATGTTCCACTAGGAACCCAAGGGACTAATAATAATAATAATATGTTGTCGTTATTATTTGTATTTGTATTACTCTTATTATTTTGCTTCTTATATGTTTGTGTGAGTTTCTTAATAAAATGGTGGGGATAATTATTAATTATTAATAATAATAATAATTGATGATAATTGAAATCAAAATAATATAATCTACCAAATTCCATGTAATGACTGTGAGGTCAAATACATAGGTCAAACTAGCCGGTCGGGGTCAGTTAGATTAACAGAACATAGGAATTTAGCTAAACATAGAACGACAGACCCCAATAAGATCAATAACCTAGAAAAACACTCAGCCATTGCATTACATTCATTAACACACAACCACACAATAGGGTGGGACAAAACCACTGTACTTAAGTCTAATATAGCTAGGTGGAGAGAGAGATTAATTACTGAATCTTTGTTCACCGAATCCACACCCAACACATGTAATAGGAATGACGCAACACCTATACCAGAGATATGGAAAACTTTACTACCAATCGAAAAACAAAGGAAAGTCAGTTGACAGGACTATAAAATCAGATATCGAAAGAAGTGTGATTACATTAGTATGATTATGAGCAATAATTTATACTCGAAACGTAATCAAGTAAATAATACTGTATCACTGTGCGCTATATATCAAATAAACAAATCTAATATGAAAAGCTACTATCCCTTCAGTTGTAGACGAGAAACAGCATAACGGTCGACTTAGTGTGATATAGCAAGTCATGTTTCCCATCCTTCTTTCTCTCCCTCTCTCTCTCCCAAGTTTCCAATGTTCCTCTAACTGATGTCAGTTCACGATGACTATAAGCTTGAAAATTTTCTAAATCCCCACAAACTCCTAAATTCACGTGGGTAACCGCTGATATACATAGCACTCGACAAGGTATATAACTCTTCGCTGGTTTGTCTAAATGATGAGTATTATTAAGAAAATAATCATCACTTCCCTTAGCAAATCTATTCTCGTTTACAACCTGCATCTGAATCCAGTGGTTCTCACTTTTCTGGTTTTTTGACTTAACAGCATTACGTGGTCATCATCCTATGTCGGCAACTAGCATCGTTACTTATTCTTAATATTGTCAACTAAACAGTTTTTAAAGTGCTCCATTGACAGAATGTCTTCAAGCTACAGAAAAGCGAGTATGTTTTCAACCCTCATACTCTCTTAATCTGGAGATGTAGGTGAAGATTTCTCACTTTTAGTCATCTCATTTTAATCTAACTCTTGGAAATTGAAGTGCATTCAAAAATTAGTCTGTATATGTCAGACTGTTTTCATGGATAATTGAAATTTTTCAATCAAACATTATTCATGTTAACGTTGATTAAATTGAAAATAACACTTATAACGCCGAAATAGGAAATACGGGAGATAATGTGAAACAATAGGTAGGTAAGTTAATCATCGTGTAAATGTTTTTTTTGTTATAGTTGAACTGTAAAGCTTTCATTTTTCATTTATCTGTTTTGTCTGAAAACAGCCTGAAAAGGATACTTTCAGACATAACAAGCTTTCTACTGTGAAGAAAAAGAGACATCAGATTTGTTGAAAAGTTTTACATTGTGACATCTTCAATGTAATATCTAGTTATCTAAAATGTTTTTCTTTTTTCCTGATAAGTTTCGTTGAAAGGCAGCCTGTCTAAAGGTAAGACAGGTTGATAGGTACATGGCTAGTCAGATGGATGAATATGAGAATAAATCAAATTAATGAGGCTGAAATACTTCTATATAACCAATAGGTTACCAGCGTATTTCAATTAAAGTGAACTGGAAAGAGTTTTCTTCTTGGATATGCCAATTTCCTCAGTCTAACTTGGTGAATTTAGGTCCGTGAAATCAAAGTTTTCTTGAAATCTTCTGTTCGTTGACTTTTTTGATATTTGTCAGTCTGACAGACTGGTAACCTGTTATTCAGACAACCAGTTATTGCACTACTGAGTGATGTACGAATTTATAGTAGGAAGTATAATCCATAGCGAGTGTTTTGTTCTACTTCGGATTCGTCAAACAGATATGCCTGCGCTACAGTTAGCGATAGTATTTTTGCTAAGCAGTGGACCGCTAACTCATTGGTCTTAGCACTAAAGTATCATTCATTCATCCTCTGAGTCATGAGAATCATCTTTTCTGCAAAGGTTTCAGCTGCCAGTAATTTTTCATTTTCATACTTGATCAAATTGGCCAACCTTTATCGACATATGGCCTTCTGTGTGAGTACTACAATGTGGGGTGAATATCCATTACTCTATAAGTTACTCGGTGGCGACTAGCAGTGGACTTTGGGACAAGCAATTCTTCCTGTTTACAACTCGTTAGTTGGATACACCCATACTTCAGTAAAACAGTGAGATATTACAAACATCAGTAAATAGTGACTGATACCCTTTACAGAGGAGATGAACCTTAATCCTCAGTAGACTAGTGGACAACGCTTTGGCGTTTAGAGTGATGGGTTGGTGATTCAAGTTCAGGTTGCAGGTACATCAAGCTGACGAGTCTCAAATAAAACGATCAAAGGGTGTTTAATCCCACTGCCAACCTTTTCACTAAAGACAGTGGGTACTTATTTTCAGCCCTTGTATAAACACTGATACTTAGAAATTTTATGTACAACACATGGGCTAGTATTCATCGAAGCAAGGAGTGACTAGTAACACTTAGTTGATTCTAATTCAAGTCTACGTCTTCCTTTTTCTTGTCAACGGAATTAGTCTTTGTAGGAATACCAGAAGTTGAAAAACCACCCATGAGTACTTAAAATTGCATCCCAGTAAAAAATCGGCAGTTCACTGTAAAACTCTTAATATGTCTTCTTAAAATTCACGGCTTACTTTTTCCGAACACTCGTTAATAATGAAGTTCAGAATTGAACTAAGAATTCACCACCTAGCAAAATGTTGATTCACATTAGTCACTTTAGCAGTACAGTCAATAACATATAGACTTTCAAAGTTTTAATCACTCAAGTAAGTGTCTTTTTGAAACCATCAAAATCCTCTGAGTTGAAGGTATCACTCGCTAACTATACTTGAATAAAAAGAAACATGTTTCCTTAATTCCACAGTCACTAAATGTCACTTGCTAATATTACCATATAATGTTAAACTGTTCTAAACAACCAAATCGGTGTTTACATGAACATTTTTACTGTTTTTTCACAGCAATTGCTGAGTCTACGAAAGTTCATGAGTTGACTGCAATGATGCTCACATCCCATCTAGACAAATCTGTGACAAGTAAATCCAGCCATTTTCAAACTGAACATTCCAGAACATATCAGGGACATGAACAATACATGAAAAGAACGTCTGAAAATCTTATAGATAATAAAATAACCAGTAATGCTGTTAATTGGTATGGAAACAGTCATCCAGTACGTATGGATCAGAAACGTATACATATTGTGGATCATCCATCATTATCACCATCAGCAGTTGCAAAACAGTCAATCCCAGATTCCATCTATAAATCATCTTCATCAATTAATGATATTTCACATTCTTTAACAATTGAATTATCACCATCAAGTAAACATAAAAAAGACAATGAAGACAATAACAAAAATCCAATACTGAGCTTTCAGTATGTGGAACCACATACAGTTGAATTACTTGTAGTAATAACCGAAAGAATGAAACAGCAGTTTGGTTCAATGATCAATGAATATTTACTGTCCACTATGACAACAGTAAGAATTTTATTTATTGAAAGCAATTTTCTGTACTTTCAGTCGACGAGAAATTTTTACTATCAATGTACATATTGAGTTATACTTTTATGCCACAAGATCTAATTAACTAGACCCTTCAGCATTCAGATCGATCTCTAAGAGTAAAAGTGAATCATTGCAATTTGGTTGGTTATGACCAGCAGTGGAATCCAGGATGCACGTTTCGTCCTATTCAAGAATCACAACCTGGATATACCGACACTTCAGTGCCTAGTGATGTCATTCCCACTGACACTCAAACCTAGTACCCATCGCTTCAAACACCAAGGCTATATCCACTATGCCATGAAGGCACGATAGCCACTTCTTGCACAACGAGCAGTAAAGTATTTATCACTATCTATTGATATGCTTGTAATACTTCGTTGTTTAGTTGGTTCACATTGTTCTACCTCCATTGACATATGAACTCCCTTGTAGAGATAACGTTATTGCGAAAGTGCAAACCATGGTACTTTGTTTGGTTGTGGCTAGCAAAAGAGTCCAGGCCTCAACTGACTCTCTTTATTATTATTAGTATTATTATTATTACTATTTGTTGCTTGGGTAACTAGTGGAATATACCACTTCAGTAGCATGTCACCATCTCACTCTCTTCTCTGCAGTCTTCAAAACCTGGTGCCACAACTACCCACAAGCTCTCATTTCTTACTCACACGATCCCCTCCATGGCACCCTCACCTCGGACACCCAACTCGTCGTTTCCCATTTCGGTTCAAATCAACGGACTCGTCTGGCCTGCCTGACGCAGGATGTCCCCAATCGGTCTTCTCAGTTTATGCACAATCCAAGCCAATCCAATCCATCTCCACCTGCTTCTCCTGCACATTTGTTGGTCGATAGGTTCTTGCTTCGTGGGTTCGTTACCAGCCAGCCAGAGTTCCTCCTTGCTCATTCCTCTGGCCATCCATTCGACCTTCAGTATGGAGTGAGTATAGGCGGTAGCTGTTGATGTGTGTCTGCAGTTTGTTGGAAATGCTTTTTGTAACACGCCAAGTCTCTCAAACATCACATAGAAGCACTGACTTGACTGACGTTGGTGTTGCGAATCCGGATCTTGTCCAGGCTTTATGCTGAGTGTAGTGTAGTAGATCTCCACAATGATTTCAGACTACTGAAAGCCTATGTTGCTGTCTTTCCGATATTGGCTGGCTCTGACGTCCTCATATGTGCCTGTTCCGCCTGTAGTTGAAATAATGCTGCCTAGATAAAAGAATTAATTGTCATACTCCAATATAGAAATATGCGTTTTCAGTAACTCTACTAATTAGTACTCCGTTGTCTCTAGGGATAATGATACGCATCTGTTTAACTCAAAGCACAAGGTTATAAGCAGGTTAAGTATCTCTGCAGTTAGGTTCCAAACGACTGACTCGAACTGTTAAAACTTAAGCCTAAAAGATATTATTCACCTAGTTGGTAATCAATTTTGTGTCATACAACCTAGTAACAAGAAACACTACTAATGAACTACTTGAGTATGTACTGGATATAAACACTATTCAATAATCTAGGAGGTTTTCTATCTGACCGTAACAGACTTCAGCTCTAACCAACATAAGTTATATTAATGGAATTGTAGTTCTTCTTAGAGTCATTATATTTGGTTATTGTAGTCCACTGAACTCTAGTTATACAGAAGTGAGGGAAATGTTTCTTTTTTTAACGTTGATTGTCATTCAACAAATTGTCAAGGAACGATTAAGTGAATTGATGTAATTGCATAAACCAATGATATAGTGATAGAATACAAAAACTGACTGTCACTACTGCTAATATTCTCCAATCAATTAATTAAAATGAAAACAAGCAGATGAAATCAAGGGAACTTGATAAGTGATCTTACTTCCTTTCTGTTTAAATTCTTGTGTGCAAATGCTTTTCATCTAGTTGATCATCAGAAAACTGTTTATTGAATGCATACTTGAGATGGTATATTGTAGTGACCCTTTTGTAAATGATTTTCTCTCCATAACCTGCCAGGGGATACCGATATGGCACCGTCCCACATAGTCTTCAAGGCGGCAAACGGCGCCAGCACCAACGCCCACGGTACTTCTCTCCTAAAACTGCAAATCGGGGCACTCCAGGTAACCCACCAGTTTTTAGTATGTACAAACGTTACCCGGAATCTAATCCTGGAGGTCGGTTTTCTCACTAGTCACTCGATATCCATTGGTGTTAACAACGCACCCATGGTAATTGATTCCACTACCATACCGTTATGCTCCCCTAAAACGCCAGCACCCCTGTGTCCAGCCTAGCGCTACCTCCAATGGTACACCAGAGCATCAGCAACACATCCCTTGATGAACGCATCTGCCAACGACCGGCCTCGCTTTTGAGGAGGTACCATGATGTCTTCGATAACAGTGATAATCCAGGGCATACAGGCATTATCCAACATGCCATTGGTACGGGCGACCACCTTCCACTACGATAACCACCGCGGCGAATCCCCATCCACTACCAAGACCAGTTAAATACCATGATCCGCGACATGTTGCAGAAACAGATTATCGTATCCTCATCCCACCTCCGACACTAGTTATGTATTGACCCTTAAGCGTTGCAGACACAGACCCAGCAAACACAGGCAGGCTGAAGAAGAATAGGAATTACGCAGTATCGTCTTTATTAGGGACACAGCTTAATCTCAGTGGGTCCACACAACACTCGATCCAGGCAGAGTTTTTATACTTCCTCGACTATGTTAAGTTTACGTACTTGGTGTTCCACCTCTCCTAACTCGTTGACTGTGTTGTATCCTGAAAGAGAAAGAAAGAGAACATGATCAGTGCTATCAATAAGGTTTCGAATGTGTTACAATATATCAAAAATGTGTTATATATTGGTTTTGATACCTGTGTGTAGTAAGAAGGTGATTTAAATATATACAGATAACCTTGCTTTGTGAATTAACTAGAAAAAAAGATGCTATCAAGATTGTCATTACCATCACCATCATTATGATAAACATTGACAGTGTATTTATTTAACATGAAATCAGATACTGAACCAAATATTGTTAACACGCCTAGATAGATATATTTGTTGATGAATGCATAGTCGTTACACCATACTAGTCAACTGAACACTTGAAAAGACGATTCATGAAAAAAAATATAGGGCAAAGACATGTCTGATTTGATGTCATCAGTTTACTTACAGATTAGACTTAAATGATTTTAAAAGATGGAAATAGATTTATCAAAATAATTTCTTAGAAAGGTATTTTCATTTTCCCTCCGTCATTCACTTTCTTCTTCTATGCATAGACAAGCATTCATGTGCACATAGAAAAACAATTGCAGACTTGTGTATACACACTTCTATGTAAGCTTGAATTTTAAAAAAAGAGGAAGAAATAGACAAGATCTGATCTCATTTCATGACAGCATAATTTTCATCATCTTCCATCAAAATTTAGACTTGTTAATAATATCGCAGATAACAATAACAAACTTTCGTTTTCATGAAAACCAAGAAGTAATGAATAGCTTTCCCATGTACTGATTGATCACTAAAAAATAACAAACAAAATGTTGTTTAACCTAAAGTGTCAATGGAACTCTATTCACCAGACTGTTTCAAGTTTTATAGAAATTAATAGGTATTATTATTATTTTTCCCCTGGGTTCCTAGTCGAACATACCACTTCAGTAGCATGTCACCATCTCACTCTCTTCTCTGCAGTCTTCAAAACCTGGTGCCACAACTACCCACAAGCTCTCATTTCTTACTCACACGATCCCCTCCATGGCACCCTCACCTCGGACACCCAACTCGTCGTTTCCCATTTCGGTTCAAATCAACGGACTCGTCTGGCCTGCCTGACGCAGGATGTCCCCAATCGGTCTTCTCAGTTTATGCACAATCCAAGCCAATCCAATCCATCTCCACCTGCTTCTCCTGCACATTTGTTGGTCGATAGGTTCTTGCTTCGTGGGTTCGTTACCAGCCAGCCAGAGTTCCTCCTTGCTCATTCCTCTGGCCATCCATTCGACCTTCAGTATGGAGTGAGTATAGGCGGTAGCTGTTGATGTGTGTCTGCAGTTTGTTGGAAATGCTTTTTGTAACACGCCAAGTCTCTCAAACATCACATAGAAGCACTGACTTGACTGACGTTGGTGTTGCGAATCCGGATCTTGTCCAGGCTTTATGCTGAGTGTAGTGTAGTAGATCTCCACAATGATTTCAGACTACTGAAAGCCTATGTTGCTGTCTTTCCGATATTGGCTGGCTCTGACGTCCTCATATGTGCCTGTTCCGCCTGTAGTTGAAATAATGCTGCCTAGATAGTTGAAAGAGGCTACTTTCTGTTGGTTTCTCCCGTTTATGGTTATGATACTTGTTGTTGTTGTTGGTTTTGCTGTTTTGGTATGTTCATCACCTCTGTCTTCTCCATACTCACTTGAAGTTTTGTCTTCGCTGCTTATTCTGTCAACTTGTTGGTTTTTGCTTTTCAATCTTTGAATTTGTTCGACATTGGACATAAATCATCATCGGCAAAGTCTGAATCTGCTTTTGGGGCCTTTCTATCGGTCCAGCCTGCGTATGCCTCTCTTCTTGCTTGCCACAGTAAGTAGTATGCACTCCTAATGCTTGCATAAGGTTGGAACTACCTCGCTCAACTTCACTGATGTATAAGCTACTTTTTAATTATTCTACTTCAACCATGGATAATTTGAGGAGTAAAGAGAAAAACTGCCTCGCTGCTGCAAATAAAAGAGTCTAACAACCAAATATACAATTAATCTTTTCGCTTTGCTCAAATATTTCCTTCTCCGTTTGTATTAGGCTGGGTTTTGAAATAATGAAAGAGATTAAAATGGACATCGGGTGTGATGGAGTGTGTCCTATTGGATATAGCTTAAACGCAATAAATCTTACTGCACCATTCAAAGACTCAAGGAAAGTGGTGACTAACTCTCAGTCCTGGAACTATTAAACCTTTT